TGATAGTGACGTGGATTGTGATTTTATTGCGCTTGACGATCATTCGAGTAGTGATAGTGAGGAATCATATTCACCAGTGAAGCGTCGGTATGTGCGCCGCCGCATGCACTCGGGTAGGGTACCCTATGCTGTGCCCAGGGGACGGAGTACATCCCGGAGTACATCCCGTGGCCCTACACCAGGTTTAGATAGTGATAGTGAGGATGATGTGGCTACACTTGGCATGGATAGACCACAGGCATCAGTAGATGGTGGTAGTGGTGATGGTAGTGGCACCGCCATGCGTGACTCACCAGCCCAGGCTGGGACCCACGCTGCTGACTCAGTTCAAGGACAAAGCGGAGCATCAGCCACCAGCCCACCACAACCACAACCACCCGCACAACCAGCCTATGATGTCCAGCATCCACCAGCAAACCATATCTGGGATTGGCAGCAAAATCCCAATTTTGTACCCAACCCCACCACTTTGATGACTCTCAAAGTGGAATTCTACCTACTTGTCCCCTTGGAACCACGGCCAATGAACTGGAATTCTTTGAATTATTCTTTGACCAGCCATTGATGGAAACTATTGTCAGGGAAAGTAATAAGTATTTTTGAGTACACCATGGCAAAATACGATTCATATCACCACAGTCAAGACTACACAGGTGGAAAGAGACGACTGTTGCAGAAATGTATTTGCTTTTTGCAACAATAATGCTTATGCCTCATGTCTATAAGCATAATATAAAAGCATACTGGTCCACAGATCGGCTAATTTCTATCCCGGTCTTCAGTGAAATCATCCCAGTGAACAGGTTTATCTTACTGTACGTATGTTGCACTTCTCTGACAAAACCAGGCCTGACAGAAGTGACAGGTTATACAAGATTAGAAATGTTTTCATGTTTTCTCAAACAAAAGTTCAGCATATACTTTTATCCATTCAAGAATCTTGTAATTGACGAGTCTTTGATTTTTTTCAAAGGTAGACTGTCATTCAAGCAGTATATACCGAGCAAGAGGAAACGCTTTGGTATAAAACTGTTTGTACTCTGTGACTGTGACAGTGGCCTGGTGTTGGATATTGTTGTATACACGAGAAGTAAAACATTGAAAGATACCAAGATGTTATTGGGTATCTCAGGTGACATAGTGAGAAACATGATGGCACCTTATCTTGGTAAGGGGCATACATTATATACCGATAACTGGTACACAAGCCCATTACTCAGTGATTTCATGCGAGTGAACAAGACGTGTGTGGCACAGTGCGTTCTAATCGTAAACATATGCCCAGGCTCAACGCGGGTGCTCGTGGTGATGACGTGCAGGTGCTTACTGCCAATGACATCATGGCATTACGGTGGCATGACAAATGAGATGTCACATTGTTGACAACCATTCACCGTAATGAAATGCAAGACAGTGGCAAAGTTGATCGAGTGACTAATGAACGTATTCGAAAACCAGTGACAGTGATTGATTATACACAAAGCATGCGCTTGGTTGACAAATGTGACATGCAGATTGGTTTTGTTGATTGTGTTCGTAAGAGTTACAAGTGGTACATGAAACTTTTCTTCCATCTCATGGACATTTCACTGCTCAATGCATATAATATGTACCAAATAAAGACTGGCAACAGAACACCGTATGGTGAATTTTGTTTGTCTTTTGTCAGACAACTCATTATGAAGTACCAGGTAAGAACACCTGCTATACAACAAGGTCCTCGAACTCCTCAGGATATACCCAAGCGTTTGAGGAGGGAAGGTGATCATTTCATAATACAGCTTCCTTCAACTCAGAAGAAATTTGCTCAGAAGAGATGCATCGTCTGTGCACAAACAAAACGACGGCAACAAAGACGCAAAGACACTCGGTTTATGTGTGAGGAATGTAAGGTACCTCTGTGCATGGTGCCTTGTTTCAAGGAGTTCCACAAGCTCCAGCAGTTCTAAAACCATGTCCAGTGATTGTAAATATGTAAATATATGATAGAACATTAGTATTATACAAGATTTGTGCATGTTTATTGTAATAAACAACAGTGGTAAACAATAATATGATAATAACTTTAGTGCGGTTATTGTGTTCAATACAGTGAGTTTATATATATACATTATATACAGTATTGGTCTCTCAGGCCCCAAATGTTAGTAGGAAAAGAAAAAAATTGGAAAAGAAAAGAAAAAACTACAAAAACCGCTAAATAAAGTAATGCGCGTATGTGGAATTCGTCGATGTTGCCGCCACCACATCATTTTGGACAAACTTCTTGGCGCTGTATCAGAATTTTTTTTTTTTGTCTTATTACCTTCACAAAAATATGCTCTTTAATTCTGTAAGAAAAAAAAATTTTTTTTTTTTCAAAATTTCTTGGACACTGGAGCACCACTTCAGAATTTGGCCTTGGACCCTGAAGGGGTTAAGAATCGTAGTGGCATACACAGTGTGATAAGGCATGGCGAAACTGAAAAATTCCAACCCCAACAAGTGTTTAATTGTGACGAAACAGGCCTGTTCTGGAAGAAAATGCCAAACAGGACCTACATTACTCATTACTCAAGAGGAAAAGGAATTCCCAGAACACAAGCCTATGAAAGACAGGCTAACTCTCATGTTTTGTTGTAATGCTAGTGGAGATTGCTGTGAAAATCTCAGTGTTTTCAAGAAAAATAGTGTCTCATCACTCAACAATACTCTTCAATAAAGGTAAGTGTCATTTTAATATTTATTCATGCATGTATTGGGCATGTCTCATTGTTTTCTGTGTAGGGAAATGAATATTTCATGTAGAAAAAAATTATTTTTTTTTTAGTACTTTTGGCTGTCTGGAACGAATTAATTTGATTTCCATTATTTCTCATGGGTAAAATTAATTCGACTAACGGCTAATTCAACTAAAGGCTAGCTTTCTGGAACAGATTAAAGCCGTTGGTCGAGGGTCCACTGTAGTATTATTTAGGTGTCCCACAGCTCAATCGCTAGAGCACTTTACATTTTCAAATGTAAAAAAAAAGATGATGTACAATTTTTTACATACTTTCAAATGTTGAAAAAACGTATATATACATTCGGACCGTTTAAGGGTTAAGGTGGTTCGGACATGAAGAGAGGGTGGAACAAAATAGAATGACTTCGAGAGTGTATAAATCTGTAGTGGAAGGAAGGCGGGGTATGGGTCAGCCTAGGAAAGGTTGGAGGGAGGGGATAAAGGAGGTTTTGTGTAAGAGGGGCTTTGACTTCCAGCAAGTACGCGTGAGCGTGTTAGATAGGGGCGAATGGAGTCAAATCGCTTTTAGGACTTGGCGTGCTGTTGGAGTGTGAGCAGGGTAACATTTATAAAGGGATTCAGGGAAACCAGCAGGCCCGACTTGATTCCTGGAGATGGAAAGTACAGTGTCTGCACTCTGAAGGAAGGGTGTTAATGTTGCAGTTATATAACTGTAGTGTAAGTGTGCCTCTGACAAGACAGTGATGGAGTGAATGATGGTGCAAGTTTTTCTTTTTCGGGCCACCTTGCCTTGGTGGGAGATGGCCAATGTGTAAATAAAAAAAAATAAATAAGTGATCAGCTTCAACCTTTCCATGCTCATAACTAGATAATACCCTAGGTAGTAGGTTGGTGGACAGCAACTGTCCAGGGAGGTACTACTTCCCTGCCGAGTGCAAAACGGAAGCCTGTACTTGTTTTACATGATGGTAGGATTGCTCGAGTCTTTTCTGTCTCATAAACATGCAAGACTTCAGGTACGTCTTGCTACTTCTTCTTACAATTAGGTCACACTACGCATACATGTACAAGCATATATATACACACACACCCCTCTGGGTTTTCTTCTGCTTTCTTGCTAATTCTTGTTCTTATTTATTTCCACTTATCTCCATGGGGAAGTGGAACAGAGTTCTTCCTCCGTAAGCCATGTGTGTTGTAAGAGGCGACTAAAATGCCGGGAGCAAGGGGCTAGTAACCCCTTCTCCTGTATATATTACTAAATGTACAAGGAGAAACTTTCGTTTTTCCTTTTGGGCCACCCTGCCTTGGTGGGATACGGCCAGTGTGTTGAAAGAAAGAAAGCATGCAAGATCTCAGGTACATCTTGCTACTTCTACTTACACTTAGGTCACACTGCACATACATGTACAAGCATATATATACACACACCCCTCTGGGTTTTCTTCTGCTGTCTTGCTAGTTCTTGCTCTTATTTATTTCCTCTTATCTCCATGGGGAAGTGGAACAGAGTTCTTCCTGCATAAGCCATGTGTGTTGTAAGAGGTGACTAAAATGCCAGGAGCAAGGAGCTAGTAACCCTTTCTCCTGTATAAATTACTAAATTTAAAAAGAGAAACTTTTGTTTTTCTTTTTGGGTCACCCTGCCTTGGTGGGATACAGCCGGTTTGTTGAAAGAGAAAGAACTAGATAATATGTCTGAACAGCTTCAAGCTTAAAGTGTTTGTGCACTTTTGGATATTCATCTCTCTCTGAAAGGTTTCAATTAGATTTGGCTGTGTACATCTTAATTTATCATTTTTATGGAAGAAATTAGGATATTAGTTTCCACGTGACTTGAGAATGCCTCTTCGGATTCCCAATTTGTTCAGAGGTACAGAGGACTAGGGTTATGGAATACAGAGATACCTTTCTTGGACTGCATAATGACCAAAATATATCTAGTTAGTATTAGTATATTTAGAGGAAAGTGTTAAATCTATAGAGGTTACACAGCACCTGGGAAATTGGTAGACAGTCAGATATGATCCAAGAAGGGGAGGATATATGTAATTTCTTGCATCAAAAGCCCCTTACCAGCATCAAGGAACTTCCCTTGAGGGAGTGATAGTAAATGATTCCTTTTTATAATCAATTCCTTGGTGAGAATTGGCTAATATTAAAAAGAGTTGTAACGGTAAAGAATGGGCAAAGTAAGAAAAAGCTTCTATGTATATCAAATGCTGAAAAAAAAAAGTGAAATGGGAAGATACGTTACAGAAAATAAAAAACTAACCTGATGTAATTTGGAGTGCCACACATGGTAGTGTGCCTGTCATCTGGGCGCCTAAGCTGTGTAGCAAGCCCAAAGTCTGCTATTTTTATCCTTCCATGATTGTCAAGAAGTATATTTGATAGAGTAAGATCCCGATGCATAATAGACTGGGAGTGAAGATAAAGCATTCCTGATACGATCTGGCTCAAGTATTCCCTGGCTAGCCATGGAAAATAAATATTACTCATACATTGCGTGCTGCAGGTCTCTTAACTTAATTTTGCTTTAGCATTACTTTTATTATTATTGTTATTTAAATTTTATTAAAAATACCATTGACAGTTTTGGAGTGAGCAATAAGCATAAAAATACCCAACAGCAACATGAATATCATTACTGAAAGTAAAATTCACAATAAAATTTACAAGTGAAAACTTATTATAACAATAATTAAACTGTACATACAGTACAATCTAAAGTAGAGAATATATTATATAGATATTTTGCTATATTAAACAACCTTCCTCATTTCTAGTATAGTGACACTTCATATTACATTATTACAGTATATTCATTGGGAAGTACTAAAACTGTATGGGTAATACATTGCCCGAGGAATGGGAAACAATCATGTTTGATCTGATGAAGGGAAGGTTAATATCAAGAGCTCTTAACCAACATCAAGGCATCCCTTTCTTCTTGAAAGGACTGTATATGATAAACTTTCTACTTTAAGTGGTGTTATAATTACATACTTTAATATTAACACTGTGCTACACAACAATAATTAGCTTATCACACCTTCATTTTCAGCGAGGACTCTTCGTAGATTTTTTAAATGTTTCTGCAATTCTCCTTTAGTACAAAGCTCTAGGACTAGATAAACAAACTGCTGATCTTCAAAGAATGTATAAAGTTTAAGTATAGCTGGATGACTGAGCTGGGAGTGAATTGTAACTTCTTGGCGCACTCTGCTAATAAGACCACCAGCTGTAATCTCACTCTTGTTAATCTGAAAGTGCAAATGAAATATATAATAAATTAATAAAATACAGTACCTTATTTTACTGAAGAGCATTAACAAAGTGCAACACCAACAATGAAGGCTAAAGTTTCATTAGCATCCCTCGTACCAGACCTACATGATAGGCTGGCATGAGGGTTATCTCCAAAGACAGCCCTGGAACCTTGAGACTGGTACTAGAGAATCCTACAATATGAGGCATTTATGCAGGAAAAACTGTAATAAGGGGGAAAAACTGCCACAGTTGAACAGAAAGGACTGAAGTCACTATGTCCTTTCAAATCATTGAAAAGAACTAAAATGGGCAGAAGAAATTGTAAGGGCATTATAGCTAATATATTCCAGACACAGGGAAGCTGTAAACTGGTGGAGGCCCATTCTAACCTCAATACAGTACACAGTACAGTACTTTGATTTGCCCTCCCCACAGTCATAAAATTATATATCTAGTGTTGTACACTGAAATATGAAGGCCTCCTATCTCTCAAACACAACCTGATGATAGTTAAGAAGATGCTGGAAAGAAAGTGTGGTATCTATGATGTAACACAGTAGAATATTCTGCCTCACAAAAAAAAAAATATCAGAAATGGTGAGCATCACTTTCCCAGGAATCACAAGGGTAAGCCTTCAAATCTTCTTCAACATATGGCAGAACTCGTATAGAAGAGGATTCGAGTTATCAGAACAGGGTAAGTGTGAGAGAGCCAAACCTGAAAATGTCAAGTCCTAGTACTAGGGACATGGCCAACAAAACTCTTGGGAAGAGAACAAGTCCTGACCAAAAGAAGCATTTCCTGAAAATATTGATTTGGGTGTAATGTATTGTGACTGCTATAGGATGAACACAAATGGGTGAGCCTTGTAAATATCAGCCATACAGTACAGTAGCTGCTAAAATATTGCTAAGCCCAGGCTGGGCATATCACTAACAAGATTCTGACTGGTGAATTGGCATGCTGTACTTCCAAATATTGTAGAATACAGTAGTGCAAACCAGAAGAGTATCAACATGAGATCTAAAACCCCAGCAGCAAATGCTCAAAAAAAATGTGGGAGTGTTTCAGAGCCTGCTTGTAGTTTGTTAAGTAGTGAGTTGGAGCCAATACTAAGTGGAGGAGCAGTATTCCAATTTTTCTTTCTTTTAACGCACTGGCCGCATCCCACCAAGGCAGGGTGACCCAAAAAGAAAAACAAAAGTTTCTCTTTTTAAATTTAGTAATTTATACAGGAGAAGGGGTTACTAGCCCCTTGCTCAGTATTCCAAATATTTATCACAATACAAGAATTGAATGCTTGACATGCAGGTTAGACAGGGAAGGGAAAGTTTAAATTGTATCTACACCAGATACAGTTTAAACTTTAAATGATTTGGGAGTTTGAGTCCTCACTTTGATCAACAGGTGCAGCCAAACACTCTGAACACTGTAACTGCGTACAGTAATACAGAACACTGTCAGTAGAGAGGAGCAACTTTGAAAGTTCAGAGCAACGATGTATATTTTTTCAAGGTACAATAATGTCTTCAATCAAGCAAAGATAGAAAGCACAGTGAATCTGCACGAGGTAAACAATATGGCATACTGAGCATAAAAAAAATACCTGTTCAGGAGTGTATTACTGGTGTTATAGAGGTTAAAAGGTTTATATATGAAATTTGCACACAGAAAGCACCCACACATTCTAATGTCCCTCAAAATTACACAATGTAGCAACACAATATTCCTAAATAATATACAATGTAATAATGCAATATTCCTAATTAGGTAAAAATTGTGTTGGACAATGGTATGCATACAGTACTTTAGTCATTTAAAATTGACCAGTTACATTTCATGTTGCTACCCTTCATAATCATCAAATTTCTTCATAGGAGCATCTAGTAAAGAGAGATGAGCATTAATCTTAAAATCTTGCATCACTTTAATAGCCACTTTTCGAAGTCACTTCTAAACGTACATACATACATGTATTCTAGTTAACATTATCTTCAAAATATGTAATGACCAGTGATAACTAATGGAGACAACTGTGTTATCATTCTCTACATATACTGTACATAATTTAAACACAATAAATTTTTAATTCAACAGAAAAATATCAAAAGAACTTTTACATATGGGGATTTCAATTTTTATGAAATTCAAATGTCAAAACTGTTATTATTCCTGAAAAGTAAAGTAGCATTGTCTCTTTTTTCCATTCAATATTTATTATATGGAATAAACTCTCACCTTAATTTCCAGTCTTAAAAGATTTTTTTTTTTTAATAAACTAGCCAATTTCTACCAAGGCAGGGTGACCCAATAAGAAGAAATTAAAGTCTTTCTTCTTTGTACATTTAGTAATAAAAGTAATGTACCTACAAAAATCCCTTTTGAATAATGTCTGATATTCTTCTGGTCCAGCACACTTGGGCAACTCAGATTTTTCCATTAACTAATCTATAAATTAAAAGCAGTACTGTATTTAAACACCAGTTCAAAAATGTTATAATGTACCTTCTTGATGGCCACATCTCTTCCTGTGTTGCGACATTTGGCACAATACACTGTGGCAAAGCCTCCCCTTCCCAAGTGTGTCCCTACATCATATTCCTGAAATTATATAATAAATCAATTAAAAAATACTAATGCATACACAAAGAGACAGTGAGGTAAATAAGTGTTGAAAAAAATTCTATAATCAGTAATTAAATACATTGTGTGTAATTATTCATGTACTGTATCCTCAAACTAATGATTCAAGTATCAGTTCAATTTCAGCACTGCTGCAGATGTATGTATGCCTAATGATTTTAGTAAAAATTATTTTAAGGTCATTGCAAGGGTCATGCAATATATCGACTTTTTCTAATTTAGAAACAAAAAGGTATAAACACACGTGTTTCTACGAAGGGAATTTTGGAAATATTTAACAAGACATATCCATAGGACTATTTCATGAATTAGCAATTAGTATTTGAATGCTAATTTATTACTAGGTGGCAAAAATTCATCAAGTACCATGTCTGTTGATAAATTGATTATATTTTTTTCAGTTTTTAAATGTCTTAACAGCTGACTATGTCAGATTAAACAGACATATGTATATGGAACAAATTCTGAGGGGTCAGTGCGACTAATATATTAGCTTCATACCTATTGTGCATAACAGCCAAAAACAGTAGCAAATTAACATCAAGTAAATAATACATGGCCTACAGACACTTCATAAAAATATAATTAAAGGGTTGATAAAGCCTGTTGTGCAGGCAAATTGCTGTTTACGTATTCTTTATACAGTGGTACCCCGAGTTTCGGCCACCTCCCAACTCGAACAATTATGTAAGTGTATTATTGTAAGTGCTTTTGTAAGTGTATTTTTGGGGGTCTGAAACGGACTAATCTAATTTACATTATTCCTTATGGGCACAAATTCGTTTGGTAACGGCATTCAAACAGCCTTCTGGAAAGAATTATGGCCGAAACTCGGGGTTCCACTGTATATATGTAACTTATATGTATATATTTTATATATAATATATACAGTAGTATGCAATAAGATCATAGTAAACAGGTGATTTCAGAATATGTTCCTTGATAATGTGAGTAGTCACGAAAGCACTTTGAATTTCTCTATTCTTTCACAGTGGTTGTTTTGCATATACAGTAGCATGTGTAGATACTTTGTAGGCTAAGTTCAAGTCTTCAAATAGTGGGGATGAGGAATGGTGGTTGAGTGATTGTTCTGAAAATTAATAATCCTTTTTCTTTAGAAACATACATAAAAGTTACATTGGATGGGATCTGCAATTCATTTGGTTACAATTTTTATACTATTATGAAACAAATACAATAAGATAAGATTGTATGTTGAAAAGAATGTCATTCATGCAAAGCCTGTTATGTTATGACTTCTTCATATCGAGAAGCATAAATATTTGGAGTCCTCAGGTTGTTCTTCAACTCTATATATCTTTGGTTAGGCCTTGTTAAGATTATGCTGCACAGTTCTGGTCACTGTATTACAGAATGGATGTAAATGCACTGGAAAACATACAAAGGAGGATGACAAAGTTGATTCTATGCATCAGAAATCTTCCCTATGAAGATAGACTGAGGGCCCTGAATCTGCACTCTCTAGAAAATGCAGAATTAGGAGGGGATATGACTGAGGTGTATAAAAAGAAAACAGGAATAAATAAAGGGAATGTAAATAGTGCTAAAAATATCTAGCCATGACAGGACTCACTGCAATGGTTCAAGTTGGAAAAATTCAGATTCAGGAAGAATATAGGAAAGCACCGGTTGGCAAAAGAGTTGTGGATGAGTGGAACAAGCTCCCAAATACTGTCACAGAAGCTAAAACGTTGTGTAGTTTTAAAAATAGGTTAGACAAATATATGAGTGGGTGTGGGTGGGGTGTGAGATGGACCTGACTAGCTTGTGCTAATAGGTATGATACCATGCTCCTTCATTAAGTGGATGTGACCTGGACCTGACTAGATTGGGTCAGTGGCTTAAGCCTGTAGGTGACTTGGATCTGCCTCGCATGGACTAGTAGGCCTGCTGCAGTGTTCCTTCTTCCTTATGTTCTTATGATCCCAATTCACAGTCTACCATAAGTGAGGTAAGGATAGATTAAAGAGCAGTAAGAAGTAAGGCTAGTAAGGCTATTTTGGAAACTTACTTAGCTTTGTCTTGAATGTGCTTGTTGTGTGTTAAACTTAAGTTTGCTGTTAAGGTGAATACAACACCCAAGAATTTTAGGACCTTTTATGCACATTGAGCGTTTTACAGACTGAACTGGGCATAAGTAAGTTTATTCAGGTACAGGTACACATAAATACAGTTACATAAATTATCATACAAAGTAGCATATGTGTAGATTACCTAGCATAGCCCAAAAAAGTCAAGACAAAATTACTTATTTCCACTGGGGTCCTTGTGCATTTCCAGTGAGGTCATTGCGAAATATGAAGGAGATTTTTTGTGTTTTGTATTATGCCTATGAGTTGTGTTGCAGCTATCAAGGAAGACTTTCAGAGCAGGGTTTATATTAGAACTGACTGTCCTGTATATATAGTATGCACATTAGTATGAGTGAATATTATGTATACTGAAAAAATTTAAACTTCTGAAGAGTGGGGAAGCACATTGTTTGACACTACATTGGGCAATCATTTGTACAATTGCTTTTGTTGAGTTATTATTTGTTTCAAGTGAACTACTGTAGAACCCCAGGTATGAATACCATAGTATAAAATAAGTAGTGCTCTTTGCATCTTATAGAGGATGTCTACTGATTTGTTTATGTTCTTTGTTATGTGCTGGATGTGGGTGTTCAATTTCAAGTTGCTGTCAAGGTACAGACTTTAAGAATTTTCCTTCAGTTTGTCTTGCAATGAGAGAACTGTTAATTATATTTAGTTGGACATCCGTGGCTCTGTTCCCAAACATCATGCAGAAGGTCTTGTTAATAATAAGAGTGAATTTATTGGTAGTCGTCCAGGGAAATATAATTATGAGCTCTTCATTAACAGTGTTACTGAGAAAATTTTAATTTCAGTCAGAGATGACAAAAGTTGTAATCTGCAAACAGAACAGGACAAAGTATCTGATATGTACTGGGAGGATCATAGATGTACATGAGGATAAGCAGAGGGCCGAGAACACTGCCTGAGGCACCATATGTCATTGTACCTAAGCAGAACACTGCCATCACTCAAGTTCTGCCCAAAGCTCATGAAGCACCTGACTAGACCCACTTTACATACAGTTTCCTGGTCTCTGTATTGAACTGATAAAGCCCCTGATAAACACAATATTCCAATAAATGGCCTAATAACTCATGCCTTACAAGCATAAGTGGTCCTAGAACACTGGCTTGTGGAACCCCCCCCCTACATGTTTAAAGTAAAAGAACACAAGTGCAACTGATGTGACATCTTTATTGTGGCAACGTTTCGTTCTCCAGGAATTTTGTCAAAGCTTGACAAAGTTCCTGGAGAGCGAAACGTTGCCACAATAAAAATGTCACATTAGTTGCACTTGTGACCTTTTACTTTACATATTGTGGGTAATTCTACCAACATTATTACAACCCCCCCAAGTTAATGGGTGGAGTAGATAATGGTGTCATTTATAGTCATAAACTGGAGCTCGTCAACGAGTTAGGACTTAAACTAACCTAAAGTTTTTAAGCCTATGCTAACCCAAGTCTCAAGGTATTATTTCCCGAATAATGATGTAATAAGCGAAGTTTCGTCATCTTTATGTAATAAAATATTTCCCGAGCAACAGGTGTAAGGCGGCGCCCAGATGCTTAATCCAGCAACACTATCAAGGGACTTCTTGCTCTTAATTTCAACAAAAATTTATAAAATGGAGACAATTTCCAATCTCAATGAAGACTAAAATTCTTTGCCTAACATTTTTGGGGATAATGTAAACCTAAATAAATATCTAAATCCTTACAATGATTGATCGACAACGCCAAACGTTGTCTTACATTTTGAAAATCCTTTCATTTCTTACATATTTTCCTGCTTGGTATACTTGAACTTAACATCTGCTGAACACTGAACTTTACACTACCTCAATTGAACCTCCAATCTCGTTCTTTTTGTTCATTCTTGTTAACCTGTTGCATGTTATTTTGAGATTTGTTCATGCATATCGCCATACATCGCCATGTTTATGTTTTTCATATTTCCCACTTGCTATGAAATCAAGACTCCCGTTGGCTCTTCCTCTTTGAGACAACCAATCATACTTAAGGTTGCTTTCAAATTCCTGAGCTCTGATTGGCTCTACTCCAGCCTTTCTGGTATATTCTGCCAATGACTGGAATTCTCATTGGTCGATGAGAGGGACAGGGAAGACTCGTTTTGTGTGTCAGGGAACAAGCAACTAATGCCGAATTCCCAAGAATTTTTTTGACGCTTACAGATACACTTACGAAATTTCCGTAAAAATAAAACTAGGAAAGTAAAATTATAACACTAAACAAATAATTGTCAAATGAAATTTTACGAACCTAATGCTTTTAAATACTTAAAGCTACTAAATTATTTTGTCGAATGATAATAAATATATTTTGAAATTGAAGTCGAAATATTCAATCTCCATGGGGAAGTGGAACAGAATTCTTCCTCCATAAGCCATGTGTGTTGTAAGAGGCGACTAAAATGCCGGGAGCAAGAGGTTAGTAACCCTTCTCCTATACACATTAATAAAGTTAAAAAGAGAAACTTTTTTTCTTTTTGGGTCACCCAGCCTCGGTGGGATACCCCCGGTTTGTTGAAATATATATATATATATATTCCTGGGTCTCCAGGAACCCTAACAACGTCTGGGTCTCCAGGAACCCTAACAACGTCTGGGTCTCCAGGAACCCTAACAACGTCTGGGTCTCCAGGAACCCTAACAACGTCTGAGTCCTCCAGGAACCCTAACATCGTCTGGGTCTCCAGGAACCCTAAACAACGTCTGGGTCTCCAGGAACCCTAACAACGTCTGGGCTCCAGGGGAAACCCTAACAACGTCTGGGCCTCAGGAACCCTAACATCGTCTGGTCTCCAGGAACCCTAACAACGTTCTAGTCTCCAGGAACCCTAACAACGTCTGGGTCTCCAGGAACCCTAACAACGTCTGGGTCTCCAGGAACCCTAACATCGTCTGGGTCTCCAGGAACCCTAACAACGTCTGGGTCTCCAGGAACCCTAACAACGTCTGGGTCTCCAGGAACCCTAACAACGTCTGGGTCTCCAGGAACCCTAACATCGTCTGGGTCTCCAGGAACCCTAACAACGTCTGGGTCTCCAGGAACCCTAACAACGTCTGGGTCTCCAGGAACCCTAACAACGTCTGGGTCTCCAGGAACCCTAACAACGTCTGAGTCTCCAGGAACCCTAACAACGTCTGAGTCTCTAGGAACCCTAACAACGTCTGGGTCTCCAGGAACCCTAACAACGTCTGGGTCTCCAGGAACCCTAACAACGTCTGAGTCTCCAGGAACCCTAACAACGTCTGGGTCTCCAGGAACCCTAACAACGTCTGGGTCTCCAGGAACCCTAACAACGTCTGGGTCTCCAGGAACCCTAACAACGTCTGAGTCTCCAGGAACCCTAACAAACGTCTGGTTCTTCCAGGAACCCTAACAACGTTCTGGGTCTCCAGGAACCTAACAACGTCTGGGTCTCCAGGAACCCTAACAACGTCTGGGTCTCCAGGAACTCAAAACCAACGTCTGAGTCTCCAGGAACCCTCACAACGTCTGGGTCTCCAGGAACCCTAACAACGTCTGGGTCTCCAGAACACCTGCGATGTGCGTCTTACTAGCGATCAATAATGATAATAATTATTATTATTATTATTTACCAAGTTAGACCAAGAGCTGTGTGTGTCTTTCACCCAGCTGAGTGTTTATTTTTTCTTTTAACTCTTACATAGTTAAGACGTAACTATGTGTGTTCAGTGACCATCATGTTGCATGTATCTCCTGCCAGCCACACAATGAATTATAAAAAAATGGTTTGTCAGCCTTAACTGATAAACCATTCATATTATTTTTACTCGATGTTATTATATTATTATTATTATTATTATTATTATTATTATTATTATTATTATTATTATTATTATTATTATTATTATTATTAAAGCGAGCAAATTACCTGCAGAAGGTTTACAGGACATCACCTGAACTTTTTCCTGTAAGTAATTTGGATGAGGTAAGTGGGACTTAAGTCATAGTAGGTCACTGAACTGCATCTCCTTCGACTGCCCACTTCCTCTCCACTTTCACAAAAGCTAGACCCGACATTAAATTAATAATTATAATATTAAAACCAGCTACTCTGGTACATTGAAGTTTAGTGGATTGTATGAGATTAGGCTTGCTGGATACACAAAATTATAACTAGTAGCATAAAGAACTTTGTATTACCACTTATTATTTAATTACTGGAAGACATTTAATACTGACGGAACACCCCTACCGCTACCAAAAACCCCGGCAGCTAAATTTACGATGGTCAATGCAAAAACTACTGTACCTTATGGGTAATCATCACTTAGCTAATGTGTGTTTTTGGGAAGGATTCATTGACGTCCTCTATTTTCGTCCTCCACACTCAGTTCTTGCGGTCCTACAAAGTTCCTGTCCCAATTCTTCAGAAGGAATTTGTCGGCAATTTCTAAAATTAAAATTGAGGCCCAATACACCCTATTAGGCCTCGAGAACGCCCGATTATTAACAAAATTTCCCACTATAACTAGTGTTCACACATTCAAAATAGCGTTTCCCCCCCCCCCGGGGTCACTCTGCAGCTCTTTCTACCCCCCCCCCCCCACTCGAAATTTCTCAAAAAGGTCATTCAGCATAATATTTTATTAGACAATTATTGTATTATTCATTTTGTTCTACATTTAGGAAATTACGTAAAAAATTCCACAAGTAAAATTACACAGACGAAACATAAAGCCACTCAATCATGGAAACTGTTACAGGAAAAGAGAGAGAAACTGGATGTGGATATCGACGTCATCACTGGATCTAGGGAGTAAGAGGAAAGGTTAGGCGTGGCTGGTGCGCTCCTACCCGGCGCAGGTCATCACTCTACCTAAATAATAAAAAGTCACATTGCCGTGACTGCAACAATACACAAATAACGCGCACATAGGAGTATCAAACTTATTGATGACGTTTTGGTCTGACTTAATCAACTGTAGGTACGGCCAGTAACTGGATGGGTGACCCAGGGAGCTCCTGATGCAGGTGATCAATATACATACTGGCCAATAAGTGGATGGGTGACCCAGGGAGCTCCTGGTGCAGGTGATCAATATATATACTGTCCAATAACTGGATGAGTGATCCAGGAAGCTCCTGGTGCAGGTAATCAATATACATACTGGCCAAAAACTGGATGGGTGACCCAGGGAGCTCCTGGTGCAGGTAATCAATATACATACTGGCCAATAACTGGATGGGTGACCCAGGGAGCTCCTGGTGCAGGTGATCAATATATATACTGGCCAATAACTGGATGAGTGATCCAGGAAGCTCCTGGTGCAGGTAATCAATATACATACTGGCCAAAAACTGGATGGGTGACCCAGGGAGCTCCTGGTGCAGGTAATCAATATACATACTGGCCAATAACTGGATGGGTGACCCAGGGAGCTCCTGGTGCAGGTAATCAATATACATACTGGCCAATAACTGGATGGGTGACCCAGGGAGCTCCTGGTGCAGGTAATCAATATACATACTGGTCAATAACTGGATGGGTGATCCAGTTACTAGTTAGTTTAAGTGTAATATGTTTATTATGCAGCCCATACCCATCCTGTGGGCGGTAGTCAAAAGATTACAAAGGTACATAATGGGTCCAGGGACTGGACCCCAAAGTTATTATAGTTGAACTAGTTACAAAGGTAATGAACTCCAGTTAGATCTGGTCACAATCATGGCAAGTTACAAAGTACGTATGTGACTTTCTTGCCGCTTAACAATACTTTACACGTAAGCTGCAGTTTGTATACTACACACAAAAATAAAGAATTTAGATTTTGGTTTGATGTTGATTCTATAATACGGAGTTACAGATATATCATAATGGTAATTTGTATAAGTGATGTAATAGGTCAGCATTAATAAAATAGGGATATAAGAGGCTGTTCACATTGAAAAATGTAACCGATTTTTCGAACATTTGAGAGCCTGTATTTATACCACTGACGCAATTCTCTGACTAATGATCCACTGACGAAGATGTTGACGGTGAAGATCTATCAGTGGTACAACTCTGTTGACGGTGAAGATCTATCAGTGGTACAGCTCTGTTGACGGTGAAGATCTATCAGTGGTAAAAACTCTGTTGACGGTGAAGATCTATCAGTGGTACAACTCTGTTGACGGTGAAGATCTATCAGTGGTACAACTCTGTTGACGGTGAAGATCTATCAGTGGTACAACTCTGTTGACGGTGAAGATCTATCAGTGGTACAGCTCTGTTGACGGTGAAGATCTATCAGTGGTACAGCTCTGTTGACGGTGAAGATCTATCAGTGGTACAACTCTGTTGACGGTGAAGATCTATCAGTGGTACAACTCTGTTGACGGTGAAGATCTATCAGTGGTAAAACTCTGTTGACGGTGAAGATCTATCACTGGTACAGCTCTGTTGACGGTGAAGATCTATCACTGATACAACTCTGTTGACGGTGAAGCTCCATCACTGGTACAGCTCTGTTAACGGTGAAGATCTATCACTGGATACAACTCTGTTGACGGTGAAGATCTATCACTGGTACAGCTCTGTTGACGGTGAAGATCTATCACTGGTACAACTCTGTTGACGGTGAAGATCTATCACTGATATACTCTGTTTGACGGTGAAGATCCATCACTGTTACAGCTCTGTTGACGGTGAAGATCTATCACTGGTACAGCTCTGTTGCGGTGAAGATCTATCACTGGTACAACTCTGTTGACGGTGAAGATCTATTTACTGGTACAACTCTGTTGACGGTGAAGATCTATCACTGGTACAACTCTGTTGATGGTGAAGATCTATCACTGGTACAACTCTGTTGACGGTGAAGATCTATCACTGATACAACTCTGTTGACGGTGAAGATCTATCACTGATACAACTCTGTTGACGGTGAAGATCTATTACTGGTACAACTCTGTTGACGGTGAAGATCTATCACTGATACAACTCT